CAGGACACAAAAATGGAAATACATCCATGTTTGTGGGTTGGAAGAATCAATATTATTAAAATACTCATGCTATCCAAAATGATCTATAGGTTTAATGTAATCTGTATTAAAATACCAGTGACACTAAACAAGAAAAATTAATCCTACAATACATAAGGTGCCACAAAAACCCTGAATAGTTAAAGCCATCTTGAGCAAAAAGAACAAAGTAGGAAGCCTTATACTCCCTGACTTCAAAATATACTACAAAATTATAGTAATCAAAGAAGCACACATTGGTATAAAAGCAGACACAGAGATCAATGGATCAAAATAGGTAACACAGAAGTAAACCTATGCATCTACTGCCAACGAATATTCAACAAAGGTACTAAATACACACATTCGAGAAACGATAGTTTTTTCAACAAATGGTCCTGGAAAAACTGGATATCCACATGATAAAGAATTAAACTAGATCTCTGTCTGTCACCAGTTACAAAAATCAACTCAAGATGGATTAAAGACATAAATGTAAGACATGAAACTACTAAAAGAAAGCATATGGCAATTGTTTTGGGACATTGGAATGGGCAAGGATTTTCTGGAAAAGACCACAAAAGCACAGGAAACGAACAAAATTAAACAGGTGTGTTTGCACCTGCACACCCATGTTCATTGCAGCACTATTCACAATAGCCAAGTTACGGAAACGGCCAGGATGCCCCACTACTGACGAATGGATCAAGAAAACGTGGTATTTATACACAATGGAATTTTACTCAGCCATGAAGAAGAATGAAATCTTATCATTTGCAGGTAAATGGATGAAATTGGAGAACATAATTCTGAGTGAGGTTAGCTAGGCTCAGAAGACCAAAAATTGTATGTTCTCCCTCATATGCGATCTTTAGATCTAGGGCAAATACAGCAATGTGGTTGGACTTGGATCACAAGAGCACATACCAGAGATATAATAGGTAGAAAACCCAAAACATGAAAGCATTTGATGTTCCCACTCCAGAGGAACTAATACAGAAACCTTAAAGCAACAGAGGTCAACATGAGAAGGGGATCAGGAACCAGTGAACAGATCAGTCAGAGATGAATCAACTTGGGCTCTAACACATTTGTACATGGAAGCAATGCTAGGAATCTCTCTGTATAGCTATCCTTAACTCAACTAGCAAAAACGCTTTTGTCTTTCTTATTATACCTATGTCTTCTCTTCAACAAAATTAGAGATAAGGAAAGAACAAGTCTACCAGGAAGTGAGGCAGGAGGGAGGTAGAGGGTGAGGGCAAGGGGCAGGGGGGAGAAATGACCCCAACAATGTATGCACATGTGAATAAATGAATAATAATTTAAAAAGCGTGTTTGTATCATACTTTGCACGGCAAAGGAAACAAGAGTGACAAAATAACCTCCAAAATAAGAGAACATATTTGCAAAGTAGATGTTCGAGAAAGTGTTAACGTTCAGAATCTGTAAGAACTAAAAAAACTCAATCATAGAAAACTAAGGATCTGATGAAAAATGAGCAAGACAGTTTTAAAAGGAAGACATACGAATGCTAACAGATATATGTAAAAAAGTTTGAACATTACACTTCATGAGGGAAATACAAATCAAAACCACAATTATCACCTCATTCCAGTTGGAATAGCTATTATCCAAAAGACAAAAGATAACATGTACAGTTGAAGATGTAGAGTAAAGGGAATCCTTGCCCACTATTATTGGAAATATAAATTTGTATAGACATTGTGGAAAACATTACAGAGGTTCCTCAAAAAATTGAAAATAGACCTGCCATATGATCCTGTGGGGTATATATACAAAGGAAATAAAATTGGTACGTTGAACAGACAGCTCTGGTGTTCATTGTAGCCACAATAGCCATGAAATGGAAACAGCCTAAATTTCTACTAACTGATGAATGGATAACAAAAATGTGGTATGTATGCATAATAGAATGCTGTCCAGCCATAAAAAAAGATGAAATCTGATTCATTTGTAACAACATAGATGGAATTGGAGGTCATTATGCTAAATGAAATAAGCCAGGCACAGAAAGACAAATACTTCATGATCTCAGTACTATTGGAGTCTGAAAAAGTTGAGCTTGTAAGTTGAGAGTACAATTGTGGGTACTGGTGGCTGGGAAGAGGAAGGAGAGGGACACATAGGGAAAGGTTAGCCAATGGGTTACAGTTACAGTTAGGAGAAAAACATTGTAAGGTTCTTTTGCACAGTGGGGTGACTATAGATAATGATAATGTACTATATATTTCAAAAAAGCTAGAAGAGAGGATTTTGAAAGGATTTTGGTTGAATATAAAAATGTCTCCCAAAGTCTCATGTGATGCCATGAGTTTGGCTCCAGCGTGGGTAGCAGCTGATGGGCTTTGGGGAGGTGATTGTATCATGAGGACTCTAACCTCATCGTAGATTCATAATTCATCAATGGATTCATACCTCAATGGAATTATTAGGAGGTGGTGGAACTAGGAAGTAGCACCTAGTTAAAAGAAATGGGTCACTGGGGGCATGCCGTGGAAGGGGCTATCTTGTCTCCTGCCACTTCAGCAATGGAGCAACTGAACATGGACTCAAAACTCTGAAACAGTGAACCAAAATAAATCCTTTCTCCCTTAAACTGTGATGAAAAGACAAACACAATGATTTCACCATAAAGAAATGTTTTCGAAGATAGGTATGTAATCCCGATTTGAACATTTTACGATGTATACATGTATCAAAATGTCACGATACCCCATAAATAAAATGTGTATCAGTTAAATATATATATTTGCATAATACAGTACATTTAAACAAATCATTTATTGAACATAATTATAAGAATTTGTACTAGTATTTAAATAGTCCTGACCTCAATGATATGCTAGTAAAAAAAATTTTTTAACTAGTTAAATGAATGATATAAACCCTCTTAGTTTTGTTGTTGTTGTTTGTTTGTTCCTTATTTGTCACCTGGTGGCTTACAAATTAAACTGACAAAAGAAAGAATAGCAATAGAAGACAGAACTCAATTACAGCAGCTGCATGTACACAGGAGTGCTCAGATTAGTAACTCAAAGGGGTAGTTAGAACTGGGGAAATAAAAGGGCAAGAAAAGTTTCTTATAGGATGAGTGATAGGTTTCATTAGGAAAGACAAATGGGTGTTTAGGACAATAAATGGGAGATAAAGAAGTTTGTGGTGTTTTTTAATGTAGATGGTCTTTCTGTCTTCCAAATTCATAGTCATGAAACTCCCCTGGAGAATACACAGTGGATTTATCATTGGTCCACACAGTAGAAGACCCTCCAAAGAGGGAATTTCTGGCACTTCTCTTTTCTCAGATATTTCTGCTTTAGTCAGATAAAAGAAGCTCCAAGAACATTTTTTCACATCAGTTGAATCTCAAATGCCTTCAGCTTAAAATAATCTTAGCACCAATCCTGTGGATCCATAATGGCCTCCACAAGAATATTTAGCACAAAATTTACTGAAAGTGATGAAATACATGATTTTCTGTATTGTAACTTCCACACACCTGTATCTCAATGTGACTTGTTATTTCTTGCAAAACCACTATCCATTTTTGTAATCATTTCATCAGTAATAGTGTCACATTATTCAACTCCAAGTAAATACTTGATTCCTGTGCAATTCAACTCAAGAGAGTCACTTATACCATTGACAAATATATAGCGAGAGCATAGACTGGCCTCAGATTTGTAATCCTCCTCCCTCAGCTTCCTGAAAGTCTTGGACTACAGGCACGTGCCACCACAGCTACCTGCGAGTATACTTTTGACATGACTGTTGGTTGATATTTTTATGTACATTAAGGAGCGTGAAAAGCCTGTTTCCATGATATAAACAACTTCTTTAATTGAATGATAGTTTTTAAATATTGAAAGCATAGTTCCTGTGTTAGTCAGGTTTCCTGTAACAAAATTCCTAAGATAAGCAACTTAATGAAAGAAAGGTTTATTTTGGTTTTGGAAATTTCAGTCCATGGTAGGTTGGCCCCATTGCTTTGGGCCCATGGCAGCACAGTACATCATGGAGCACATGGTAGAGAAGGGTGCTCACCCTCCTCACTTCATGGCAGACAAGAAGCAAAAAAGCAGGGGGGTGGGGAAGTGGGGGGGGGAAGTGGCCAAGACAAAACAACCAACAATTCAGCAGCAACTGAGAGAAATGATATCGTTATTGAACATTCTGGTTTTTTATGCTTGTTATTTGATGTGCCTTTTTACACATTTACAATATATTTCGTGGAAATGCTACTTCAGACTTACCTTAGCATATTAAAAAAATCAAGCTGTGCGTGGTAGTGCACACCTGCAATCCAAGCACTCAGGAGGCAAGTGCAGGCTCCAGGTCAGCCCGGGCTACACAGCTCGAAGCCAGCTTGGGATACAAAGCGAGACCTTACTGAAAAAAATAAATAAATAAATGAGGTTCCAGGAGGAAAAAGCAAATTTATCAAAAGTGAAACCATTTATTCCTCAATACGGGCACAACTTGGCTGGCCACAGTTCTGGCTCACTCCTCAACTCCATTATTTTCAAGCTGACCACATTTGTCTTCAAGGATTTTAAACTATGGGTGCTAAGTTTATGACAACCTCACATTTCCCATTTCAGGCAGCTGGGAACAAAATATTATTGTAAGTAGTATCCTAACGCGGCAAGTCATACGACCGCTCGGGAACAATCTTAATCTACACCGTGGGATTCCAGTGGGAGAGTCGTTCTAGTTTGAGTAGGTTGAGTAGGTTGGGGCAAAAAAGCGTCCGCTCGCCAAAGTTGACAAGCCTTCCCAGCAGCGCAATCACCTGCTAGCCTGCGCGGGCTCTCCCGCGGCGGACGGCAGGGGCGGGGCCGCACATGCGCAGTCCCCTCTCCGCGCGCGCTAGCCCCGCCCCACAGAGTCGCGGAGTTCCGAGACGCTCGACGCGCGGACTGCGGCCGCGCAGGCGCAGTCGGAACGCCTCCGTGGGATAGGCTCCTTCTCCCTTAGTGTGTCCCCGGGCTCCTTGGTTTGCCGAGTACGGTTACGCTCCGCAGGTGCTGAACGTCTGGGGTCGTGGACCCCATCTAGGTGCCAGCGTCACGGAGGTACAGGGTGTGGCGGAGGGCTCGGGGCCGGGCCTTGCTGCAGCCGCCGCCCTGGCCCCAGCCCCAGTGGCGGCGCCGACCTCGCAGTTCACCCTGCTGGTGATGCACCCGTGCGGAGGGCAGGACGAGGCGGCGGCCGCGGGCAGCGTCGGGCCGTGCAAGCCCGTCGGGTACCCGTGCGACATGGCTGGGGATGCCGAGGAGGAGGCGGGGGAGGACGAAGCGGACCAGCTGGACACTTCGGACCCCCCCGGAGGAGGCGAGAGCACCGCCAGTTTGGAGGACCTGGAGGACGAAGACACTCACTCTGGGGGCGAGGGCGGCAGCGGCGGGGCCCGGAGGCGGGGCAGCGAAGGGGGCAGCGTGAGCAAGATCTGCACCTACGAGGGCTGCAGCGAGACCACCAGCCAGGTGGCCAAACAGCGCAAGCCGTGGATGTGCAAGAAACACCGCAACAAGATGTACAAGGACAAGTACAAAAAGAAGAAGAGCGACCAGGCCCTCAATTGTGGAGGGCCCACCTCTTCTGGCAGCGCGGGAAGCGTCAAGCTGGAGGTGGTACTGCAATTTGTTGGGGTTCTGGGAGGGGGAGGTTGGCGAAACACCTTTGCAAACCTCATGTCGGGGCCTGCTCACCTATTTTCAAAGGGGCCAGGTTGTCCGGGTGGGCTAGTGGCAGAGTTAGGAGGACGTGCTTGTCCACCCTCAGAAAAGTTTATAGGAACATGCATAAAGCCTTAATTCTGCTGTACCTGAGTGACAGGCAAGTGAATGAGTTTCTTGGAGATCTGGGATATATATGGGCTGGAAGGACAGGTAATAAATGATGGCTCAGTTGTCTCATCATTAATGGAGCAGGCAAAGAGACTTCCAGCCTAGATGGAATTGCTGCTATGGAGAAGGTAGTCTCTTCCCGCTGCAGTACACTGTGCTCAGCACCTGTTCTCAATGTCCCTGTTCGTAGTACCACTGAGCTTAAGTACCATACCTATTCTTACAACACTGTTCTCAGTACTTATGAGCTCGCAGTCCTGTTCTTAGTTAGTACCTTATTTTCACTGGACCCGTTTGGTACCCTACCCTCACTACTCCCTTTCTTGGTACCCTTAGAGAAAAAGATTATTGACCATGTGTGTAAGTCTCAGGATGACTTTTAGAGTGCTTCAGTTGAACTGTGTTGAATGTTTAAGCCAGTGCTCTGAAGTTGGAATTTTGGCTGCAGATCCCAGTTCCAGTGTTTGCTAGGTGTGTGGCCTTAAACATGTTTTTAACTTCTCATAAATTTAAGCTTCCTCATCTTTTGGCATTAAAATAATGCCCAGTTCTTGTGTTGCTGTGTGTGAGAAATTCCATATTAAGTGTGTACAGGTGATCATATAGTAAAAGTCAATAAACCTTAGCCATTATTACTGTCATCAGTAGTAGTATACTTCAAGATTGATACAGATAAGTGGGTATTTCTTCCTATGTGTTTTCCTCATTTTAATAAAAGGCATACTCTCTCAGTGCAGAGGAAAATTGAATTTTGTTAATGGTCCAGAAAATAGTGTTTAAAAGTGAAAGCTGTCCTAAGGTGTATTCTAAATGTCCTTAAGTGTCATAGTTTTAGGCTGAGCTTGAAAGTTGCACCATTACTCAAATTTTAGACATTATGCTTATTTAGAAATGTAGTATCCTAAATGTCTCTGAAATCTGCAGTCACCAACATACAGTCTTAATTTACATTGGTTAGGGTACTGAGTTTCCTCCCTTTCCCTTTTATCTAATTCAGTTTTAATCTGTTTGGCTTTGGACCATAACCTGAAATGTTGAAAGCCTGAAATATCAAAATCCCAAAAGTAATAATTCTGGAATAAAAATAGTTTTTAACCATTTTTTATGGGGCTCAAGTGGTAGTGCACCTGCTTAGCAAAGCACTGAGTCAAAATCAGTACTGCCAAAAAAAAAAAATATTTTAGCTGGGTACAGTTGGCTCCAGCCTGTAATCCTAACTACTTGGAAGGCTGAGATAGGAAGGATATGGGCAAAAATTTCAGGAGACCGTATCTCAACCAATGGCTTGGCATAGTGCTGTGTGCTTGTCATTACGGCTGTGTGGGGAAGCACAAATAGGCCAGCCTGGGCATAAATCAAGGCCATATCTCCAAAATAAGCAGAGCAAAAACGGCTGGCAGTGGTTCAAGTAGTAGAGTGCCTGCCTAGCAAGCAAGTGCAAGGGCCTGAGTTCAACCCCCAGTACTGTCCAAGAAAAAAAAAATTGAAAGTGTTTTGTAAGGCATTTATATTTTTAAGAGGAGTTTTGATAAACATGTAAAAACACAACAGAACACTTCACAGGTCATTTTATACAATAGACAATAAATAATAACATACATATTTTGCAATATACAAGTATTCTAACAGCAGTTGCACAAGTATAACTGTTAAGAGTTGTGAGTTATGCATTGATAAAGTAGGCCAAAAAGCAAAATATATAAACACATGTAACTGTGGTTGACTGTTGAATGCACCCAGCTTTATAACTATGATCATCTGAAATAGTGACCACAACCTAAGTCTTTAGGTGAGTTCAAAGACCAAGCTGCATGGTAGAATGCTTGCCTAGTATGCGCAAGGCCCTTGGTTCAATCCCCAGAATGGAAAAAAAAAAAAAAAAGTCTGGGGATGTAGCTGTACCAGTGGTAGAGTGTTTGCATAGCACAGGAAGCCCTGGGTTCAATCCCCAGCACTGTAAAAGAAAAAGAAAACCTGAGATGTGTCAACATCACATACACAGTCACCCAAAGGGCCAGGATCTCAATAAATTTTATCTTTCACAAATGCATATTACCAAAAGGACATCTCTTCATTTATTAAAGAAGTTTCAATATTTTTATGTACACACACACACAACACTTATACAAATGCAATTTTATGGTAAGCACTTTCATGGAATCAAATTTGCAAAAAAAAAAACCCTTATGAAACAATTAGAATTCTCTAAAAGTCTTTCCACAGTTTATGCCTCCAGTATTGAAAATGATGCAGAGGTGAACTATATAGCAGAGTAAATTATAAAATGTAATGCTGAATATTTAAAAACAGTGGAAAACAAAAAAATAATATCTGGCACACAAAAGTGCATTACAGTTATAGATTGTGGGCAGTGGCACAGAGATAATTCATCAGAGTTGGTTGACTTTCACAATCATATTTTGTAACTTTTTTTTTTGATGGTACTGAGGTTTGAACACATGGCCTCATGCTTACTAGGCAGGTACTCTACACGATCATTTATTTTGAAGTCTTGCATTACACTGAATGGCTGCTTTTTCCTTCTTTCAGGGCATACCTCTCTCCAGAATAGATTCACATCCATTTCCTGTGTGGCATTGCTCTTTTAAATTATGGTATTTTGGGATGTCAGTGTTCAGGATTTTAGTTTTGGGGATTTTGATTTGGGAGTTTTAGACTTAAAAATTTTAGACTTTAAAGATTTTGATCTCTTGGGATTTCAGCATTTCAGGATTGTCTCTTGGAATTATGCTCAGCACCTTTCTGTTTAGAGGATTCCACTGACAACCTGATGAAACCTAATGAAGACTTTTCCCAGAAAAGTGCATATAGACATTTAATTTTAACTGTACATACAAATTCATAGGGTTTAGGATCCCTGTGGAACTTTAAAACCCCTCTCAATCCATATCCTTATAAAATGATAGTAGTTTGCCCAGTCTTGAATTTCAAGGATAAATGGAAATAAATATCTTACTTAATACAGAATAAAAGTGAAAGTAATCAGCTTTGTCCCTTACATGTTTCATAGGTACTCATTCACTTTGACATTCTTTACAGAGAGAGAAGGGGATACTTATTTTCCTGAAAGAAATATTTTATCCATGACTACTTTGTATTTTGAACTACTAGAATTTACATCTAGAGTTTGAGGGAAACATATAAAGGACAATTAGATGCCAAGTTAGTGTATTCTTCTCCATATCCCAAATAGAACCCTAATAATTTCCATAGTTTAGAATAATTTGCATTTTTTAGGGAAGCAAATTGATTGCAATAAGCAACAAATAATAGTTTACCATACCATTTGGTTTTTTTTACTGTGGGATACGTTCCCAGTTTTGAGGAGGTTATGAAGAACTAACTGTAAGTCCTTTTTTTGGCCGGGGGTGGGGGGGGCAGCACTGGGGTTTGAACTCAAGGCCTCACATGTGCTAGGCAGGCAGTCTTACACTTGAGCCACTCCACCAGTCCTTTTTTGTGGTGGGTTTTTTTCAAGATAGGGTCTTGTGAGCTATTTGGCCGGGACTGGCTTTGAACCACAATTCTCCTGATTTCTGCCTCCTGTGCTGAGCCATGGGCACCCAGCAGGATCTGTAAGTTTTAATCTTTGTTGAACTGAGTGTGAAATGTCATCAATGAAAGCTGCCATATAGTACTACTGTAGTAATTTAAGGTGAAATAAATCATGGTAGACTGAGATATTCTGGAAGAACTTTGCAGAGAAAATATAATTCAGTATAAGCTAAGAAGCAGAGCTAAGTTTCTTATCTGCCAACCACTGGTACTGTGCTATAAATGGAGTCTCACAGCTGTTCAGCAATGTGTTTTAAATAGGTGGAAACTGAGGTACAGAATGAGCAAGTAACTTGGCCTAGGTCATAGAGCCAGCAAGTACTTAAACACAAACAGTGTGATCTGGAGCTTCACTTTTATTCCCACACTGCACTGCTTCCCTAGAATTGCAGTGGATAAAGGAAAGAGAAGCGTGTTTTAGTAAAGAAAGGGAAGTAGAAGATTGAACACTTTAGGAAGAGAACAGGTATACCATCCTAGCTGAAGTGTAATATTTGTGTGGAAAATTCGTGAAAGATAAATTTGAAAAGATAGATTAAAGCCAGTTTTTATATGCTATTGAATGCCAGGCTATGGAATTTGGGTTTGCCCGGAACTGGCTTTGAATCACAATTCTAATTTCTGCCTCCCGAGTAGCTGAAGACTACTAAGGGATGCTACTCTGATGGCATGGATTATTAAGGTTGAAGGTTTAGTAATTTGGAGGTAATTCATAGAACTGATAGGCGGTGGTGGTATGGAGGTCTTCTGCTATAGTGTGAGCTGCAAGATTAAAAATTATTCACAAATGAAATAGCTGCAAACACAGCAAGCAGTATTCACAATAGCCGAGTTATGGAATCAGCCTAGATGCCCATCAGTGGATGAATGAATAAAGAAAATGTGGCATGTATATATACATAATAGAGTATTATTTAGACAAAAGAAGAACAATACCATGTCATTAGTAGGTAAATGAATGGAACTAGAGTAGAGAACATCATGTTATGTGAATAAGCCACACATAAAAAAGACAAGTATTGCCTGTTTTCTCTCAGGTAGGATCAAGGGGAAAAAAAGACATCAAAGTAGAAGGATGACTATTAGAGAAGAGGAAGGGAACAGGGTGGGTAAGAGAAGGTAATGAACATAATCACAGAATGTTACATGCATGTATGAAAATGTCACAATGGAGTCAATTTATTTGTACATTTAATGCATGCTAATGAAAAATTGAGTTATGTCAGCTCGATATTTCTTATACAAAGATTAAATAAGGAGTTAAGTGCATATAACGAGTCCATGTATCAAAGAACTGATAAATAAAACGAATTCACTTTGTATAGATAGGGATCATTATAATTAAATATCTAAAAGACTACCATTTGGAAGAAACAGTAAGTTTATTTTGCTTAGTTTTGAAGTAACTAGGACTCTTACGTGAAAATCACAGTGATTGTAGAATTAAGTGGTTTTACCTCAGTAAAAACCACCTAAGTGCAACAGCTATTGAACAAATACAGAGTGCTTTAAAAGTTGGTAAGCTTCTTAGGACAAAAAGTGTTGAAATTTTTTTAAAAAAGGAATTCAAACGTTTTTAGAAGTTTGGGCCACATGACTGAAGGTTATTTCCACTACACACTGCTGTGGTTTTGTGGTATCAGCTTTCTGAAGCTATACAGTGCTTTGTCTGGAGCTCTGGTGATGGAGGGTGCTCCACAATCAACTCAGCTCTAGCATTCCGTTTGTTATGCACATAAAGGAAAAAAATCCCATAAATAAAGTTAACTCTGGGGAGAGAGGGAGGAAGAAGTTATTCTTGTTTTCTGTGGGTATTAGAATCCTCTTTTTGCTGTTTTTACATCTTGAGGCCTAAAACATTTAGAGATGAGGCATTTTTATGACAGCAGTTTGCTAAACTTCTCATAATAAAAGTGGTAAAAGGATATTTTAATAAACAACCCAAGGGCCAATATAGAAAAGTCCAAGAGAAAAATCAGCTTAGATAATATGCAAAATAAAGAGCACTGGAACTAAATTCATATAAGGCATGGCTTTGTGGTAAGACAGTTTATAGTTTTTTTATTTGTTTAGTAAGAATTAGGGGGAGGTCTAGTGTATAATACAATAATGTAAGTGTGGTAGTGTGCACACTTAGCATATACAAGACCCTGGATTCAATCCCTAGCACCCCCCACCCCTGAAATTTTTGTTTTGGATGTGGTCGTTTCGTACTCTGGGTTTATGAGAGGCGCAGTGTTTCAGTTAACTAGAACAGTATTATGTTATGCCAGGAAAAGTGTTAAATGTTTAAGATTCTGTCAGGTAAGTGGGAAAACACATTTGGTAATAAATGCTTATTTTGTTTGTGTTTTGATGTCTCAGGATAATATTATTTTAAAACCTACTTGTTTTGTCTATACTAGTGACTTCATACCAGTGCTTTCTAGCCTTTTACAGCTAGTTTTAGCATTTTTCCCCTTAAGACTTCTAAATTCTGAGAACTTTATCATTTGCCCTAATTGATATTTTACTCCCTTTTCCCTTTGGTTATGAGTTGAACAAAAATTTATTCTGTGTCTCACTAGCAGTATATAAATTACCTCAGAATTCATGTATTTCATTCAATGGTAGGCAGACACTGTGTTTTGGCCTAGATAGTTCTATATGAAGAGACTGTTCACTTCCACTTGATGTATTTTGTAAAATTAAAAATAGCTCACAAATAACTCTTTACACACACACACACACACACACACACACACACACACACCCCTACTTTGCTACACTATATTTGTGACCCTTCAATAAACTGAAGAACCTAAGTTGGAAATCTAAGTGAAGTCTAAAACTCACTGCTAGCACCAGGCCCATGGCTTTCCCAAAGTTTCACAGGAACTGGGCAAAAGGGAGATAAGCAAATATCAGTTCACTGCTTTATCATAGTGTTAACTGTTAATCTCATTTGTGTTTTTATCGTTTATCCCAGGAAAGTACAGATAACATACTCTCCATTGTCAAACAAAGAACAGGATCTTTTGGGGACCGCCCTACAAGACCTACTCTTTTAGAACAAGTGTTAAATCAGAAAAGACTGGTATGTGATGGCTTATACATATAAATCTCTTAATAAAAATGATTTGTTATAAATGGGACTGTTTAGATTTTTGAGTTAGACTTTGTTAACTGGCCATCAGAATTGAATTGTGCCTCTTCACCTGTACACACGCAATCTCATAACTGCTGTCCTAGGACTGTGTGAGCACTAACACCTTTAATCGTATTTCTCTACTGATGAAACTCTGGATAGCTGAGCAAGATGGGGTTTTCCTGTAGAATCTCCTTAATACTGAGTTGTAAGATTGATGGAATAATGCTTTGATGGCATTGCGGTATGAGTAAACCAGTATTTAATAAGGATTTCTATTATAAATTTGACAGAAGTCAGTCAGGGAAAGAGAGATTGTTCACTAAAAACTGGAATAATTTGATAGTAATTTGATACTTACTCTGCATTACAATAAATTCCAGATAGAGTCTTAAAATTTTATAGAGTTAGAACTTTATCTCAAGTGTTCTAGAATGAACTGGAGGCATGACTCACGAGCTAGAGCACTTGAGCAAGCACAAAGCACAAGGCTCTGAGTTCAGTTGCTAGTACCACCAAGAAAAGAAAAAAACCCTCTGGAATGAGATTTCATAATTTAACAGATAGTAAACATAGAATTACAAAAATACTATTTATTCTATTACATAAAAATTTCTTTAGCCAAAAAATGTGAAAATCAAAATGCAAAGAGTAATTTATAACAAATATAAAAAACTATGGTTAATATGGTTGATATTTTTATTATAAAAATATTCATATAATTTGATAAGGAAAAAACTTACATTGCAAAAGATATAAATGGTATAAAAGCAGAAGTACTGCCATTTAATTACTAGAAAAGTATTCAATATTAGTAAAGATGTCACAGGAAACAGAATTACTTGACTGACACACACAGATGTTGAAGATTGCATGAAATAGGCACTCCCATTCTGTTGATGGCATCCTGTGTTATTACAGAACTTTTAGAACATAGTTGGTGGTGTGTATCAGGGGCTTTTAAAATGGTCAGCCTTCTCTCAGAAATCAAACCAGAAGAAAATAAATCCTAAAATCAGACATTATTTGCAGGTGTTAGTATTTTGATGTATGGCATCCAATTTTATTATTAGTTAGCCATTTGACTCCAGGGTGGTGCATCGCCTACAAAGGTGAATTCAATTCAGGCATGTTTTGTTTTGTAAGCATATTATATCTTGTGTAGGGCACATCAGAGTAATTCCATCACATGAATACAATCGAATCACAAAGAATAGTGCTATTAATATTTTTTCCTTTTTTCTCTTTAAGTCATTACTACGAAGTCCTGAAGTAGTGCAATTTTTACAGAAACAGCAGCAACTACTAAATCAGCAAGTTTTGGAGCAAAGACAGCAGCAATTTCCAGGAGCATCAGTGTGAGGGAATTTATCAAGAACCTCTGTGTGCTTTTTGTCTTACTGTAATACGTGAACATATTTTTATACTAAAGATAAATGAGTAAAATATGCTACTTGAACATAAACACTTTCTGTAAATGTATATATGCATTTGAGGATAAAGAAGTATTGTATTTTTTTGCATCTAATCCTTTCGGATCACTATGAGTTTGAAAAAATCCTAAAATAACATTTAATTACACCTTTTTTTTTTTAATATTTCTCTTTGGTCATTGTTACTGAAGATAATGAGTTACTTTCTGTGGAAGTCATGAAGTTCATAGATCTTGAATCATCTAGATCTGTATTCTCATCATCAGGCAGTTAGACGTGTATTGGAGTTGTCATAGCTTGAAAACTGCTCAGTCTTAGTGGGCGGGCCAGGAAAACTAAATGTTCTACAGTTTCTGAAATAATCCCACACATCTGAAAATTATCTCCTTCTCTTAAGAAACACTGATAACTACTTGTCTTGATAACGAGTACCTGGAATTGGGCTCTCATAATAACCTCTTCTTGCAGTTAAAGTTGGAGCTGTCAAAGAGGTAAGCATATTGTATACCTGTAAGGAAAGCGATAATTGATCATTGCTCCTCTGTGAAATCAGAGCTAGGCTGGTAAAACCTAAGAGAGATTAAGTACAGCAAAATTCTCCTAAAGTTGGCTTCTGAGTTTCAGGTTACCACAGTAGTGTTGCTCTCATTTAGACCAGACCGTCTTGTGAGTTGAATTTGTAAACAGTGTAGAAATACCTCAACTCACCAATGCCAAGACAAAAAAAAAAAAGTTACATATTCACTTTTCACTAAAGACAATAGAAAAAGAGATACTTTTCAAAAAAGAGATCCTGAAAATAAGAGTAACACTTCAGCATTTTGTTAGTGCTGTTCAAAATTTGCTATTTCAAGATTGTGCTATTTCTGAGTACTGTTAAAAGAATATGGGTAATCTGGATACTTTTTTTCTTGCATTTTTCTCCTCGGAAAACTTTAAAAAGGCACATTTGCCAATAAGAGTAACAGATGTCAAGAACGCATAGCCAGTATTAGGATAATAAATGTTTGTGTCTCAAACTGTATAAAATTTTGTTAGTTTCTTGGTTTTTAAGCTCTGAAATATATATCATGTTAAACTTAGTCATAACTGCTTTAAGAAGTACTTATGGTAAAAAAGAATTTTTTTTTTACTTTTTAATGTGTGTTTTATACTTTCATATCTACAAAAACACTTTTGCCAAAATTATTCATTAAAGTCCAGTTGCTAACCTTTTGAGTTATCTAATTTATTTACTCTATTTTCTTTAATTGCTTCATACAGGATGCAAAAGAATTCACTTACTATTGCTTATTATACTTACAGCATTGGGGTTTTATTGAGTTTCTGGAGCTTAAGTTAACTTTTATGGCAAAAAAAATCAATTCATGCATCTTCAGATAGAGGAATAGGAAAGGAGTGAAATAGGCAGTGAGAGCTGGATGAAAAGAATTGAATTCATGTGGTTATGAGAACTTTGAGATGATCAGTAGCCATTAAACCCTAAAGTAGACAGTTGAGAAGCTTCAAATCTTTAGGATATTTTTTTAGAATACAGTAGCTATCCATTCACGAATCTGGCTAGGAATAGGACAGTTTTCAATCCAATTTAATTACTGCTTTCACAATAGAATTTTTCCCTTTAAAATTATCAAATCAATACAATTTATACCTATTCAAGATCAATTTATTGCAGTTTGTCTCCAGTTTTTTTTTGCCTTTCTGTGTACTTACGACCTTTGCCATGTGACTTTGCAGTTTCTGCCACCAAAAGGTAGTATTTGCCAACTGTGGTAACTAGACTGTAAATGTGAATAAGCAAATGACAAAGGGTCATAACATAATCCTTCTAAAAATTTTATATAAATATGTAATTGTATCTGCGTATGTGCTTGAATATAGAAGTTGCTTCCATAAAGGAAAATTGAGGCACTGCACTGGTGGTTTGGGATAGTAGAATGAGGAGGTCAGGAGACAATCTTTGTTGAAGTAATCTTTTACATTATTAAAATTTTTCTATACACAGATAACATTTTCAAAAATGTTTTTCATGCCATGAACTAAAAAAATCTTGTTTGAAATTGAGAATGTAGACATACTTCCAATTATTTCCTTTGCTTTCTGTTTAGGTATATAGAAAGAAATATGTTTTTAACTAGTGGATTTTTATTTACATGCATGTAGCACTTATTTATAGTGAAATCACCCCACACACTGGGGTTTCTTACCATCCATCCCAAAGTCCAAAATATACACTTCCCTACTGAAGCTTCACGAAGAAGTATAATCTAAAAACAATGTGGAAAAACCCATACCAACTTTCTAACCCTTCACAGTTTTCAAAATAACTCTGCATACTTAGCTGCTCTCCACAACAATCCCATAATCTATGTACAAAAAAATTATTATTTTATAGATACAATAGCAGGCTTGCAGAGGTTAAGTTGTTTGCTCAAGCCTGACAGGTGTTGGACTTAAGCCCTCTGAGTTACTTCCTGCACTCTGGTAAGCATTACTCACAGTGAGGCCGTAACATGCACCTTCCAAGCTGGCAGTGAATACACTGTCACTGGACTATAACAATAAACTTTTGCATAAATTAAGCCTTGATTTTAGGAAGTAACCCTAGTCATGTTACTTTAGAAAGTACATTTATATGTGTTAATTCATTTGAACCTCAAAACATGACAAGGCAAGTATTGTCTGGTTTGTTAGGGTGAGGAAAGCAACCCAGAAAAGTTAAAGTGACATATAAAACAAGTCTTACTATTGCAGGAGAGCCAAGATTCAAACCTAAATCTTTTGTCTCCAAAAATGATGCTCTTTCCACAGTAGTACGTTGTTGCTAAAGGTCTCAATTTGGGAGTGTGGCTCAAGTGGCAAGCGAAGGGCCTAAGTTCAGTCCCCAGGGCTGCACAGAAAGAAAAAGGCCTCTAATTGATATCTGTGCTGATTTATAATTTCTGTTCTTTTACTCAAGTTAGAATTGTATATGCTAGGCAAGTGCTCTACCTCTTGAGCCACACCCCCAGTTCTTTTGGTTTAGATATTTTTCAGATAGGGTGTCACAATTTTGCCCAGGGACAGCCACAAACTGTGATGTTCCTACCTATGCTTCCAGCCCTTAGCTTTCTTTAGTGAGGAAAATGAATATTTATAGTAACTGATGATTCAGATGGAAAATGAATATTATCCTCATACCATTGGGACTTGTGTTCAGATAGCAGTTTATTTGAAAATAAGCCAAACTCATTGGTCTAGCAGTCTTGTGTCAACTAGGAAGATTTCTGATTTAAATACTGCTTTTATCAAGTTTTAAGTTAACATGTTTTCAAAACACTTTAATGAAAATATTTTACTTTTAATAGGGGAATAGATCTCACCATCCAGTCAAGAGATAGGTGGCTCCCCCCATTTGGTGTTCCATCCTCTAAATCCCTTGTATTGTTCTAAAGCATGGAAATGAACTTTTCTCTTACCATCTACTGCAGCAATATAAGTAAATCTTGCCTCTTCATAACTTTACCCCAGTAACAAAAAAGTACAAAGCTTTCTTTAAGGCGTGGCTCAGTGAGCACAGATGTCGATTTTCTCAAGCTACTTGTAACTTGGGCTTAAGAGAACCCAACGGTCTGTGCAGCGTGAAAACAGAAAACAACCAAGAGATAAGTATGGCTGGTAGAATTTCTTTGTTTTCTATTTTGTATGATTTCCTATTCTCAAGTTGGAGATCACAGTTCTCACTAATAAGGTTTTACACTGGTTGCCTTTGAAAATCTAACAAGCAGAATATATTAATAGTATTATGTTAATTAGTATTAGATATTTGCACAAAAATTTATTGCCATTAATTATGGTAGTACAATTATATTAACCTTTCTGTGCAAACCTGCACTGCACTATCATGTTAATTAGAATGACATACGGAAATTTGTAGGGACTGGTAAGGGTAATTGTAACAGCATTATTTCTTTTCAGAAAATAAGGAAGCAGGTATTAGAGAGATCCGCATTTTTCCACAGTTGCCCAGAGTTGTCGGTTAGAATGGAAGTTCATACTCACTTTTAGCAGAGTAGTGCTCAGAGACTCTTATTTCCAGCTGGTCTTTCTTTTCTAAATATCCATTATAGCATGTGCATCCTGCCTCTTTCTTGTGCTAGTTAATGAGCCCTTAAGAGCCAGGAAATGCCTATCCAAGAAAAGCCAAGCATTCCTCTCTTATTTGGGTATCTACCCCCTTGCCCAAATATGTCACTGTGGTTTCTGTGTCTCCTATATTTCTTGTTCACCTCTATAGAGCCAGTAACAAAGAATCAAGGTTGCCCTTGATCACCAATCCCAGACATTTTCCTGCCTTTAAGTGGGGCATAGTCTCCAAAGTCTCGCTTCCCTGAACACATCCTGCTTTGTTAGGAATTGGAATATGACTACAGCTCCTGCCCAGGCCAAGAATTGCCTGTTCTGAAGGACAACAAGAACTTTAGAACTAAAACACACAGAACAACTCTCAGGTTCCCATGGTGAGAGGAAGTCTGGGTACTTTTTGACCAGCAGGGCACCAGCCTCTGAGTACTTCTCTCTAGCTAAAGGTCTGATGCAAGGACCAGCATGGTGACTACAAGTGCAGTAGTGAAGGAACAGCAGTTAACCTGAGACCAGTGCTGCCTTCACTGCATTAACAGTGCCCTTGGTGGGAAATGTAATCACTCACCTCTGGTAAAAACAGGAGATGGAAATTAATGGGGTTTACTTCTGGCAACCAAAAAGTCAAGCCTTCCCACATGACCTGGGAGAGGAAGGTAGTATCATGAAGAGAGATCTCTTAAACAGCTGGCATACAGGCACAGCACATTGAACCAGAACCAGAGCAGCAATCATATAACGAATTGTATGCGTCCCTGTATTTTCTTATGCTGTTCTTACCTGAGATCTCCTGATTTACAAAAGCAAAGTTTTATTAATTTCAAACACATTATCCCAAAGCACAGTGAATTAACCATCTTTTGTGGGAGGAGGGGAAGTTCACAGTGCTATGCGCTGACTAAGCCTAACTGAGGGGTTTTACTGTAATCTTGCTT